CACAATCGAAATAAGTAGATAATTTGGATAACTGATAAATAACTAATGATAGAAAGTAGGGTTTAATTTGTGATATTCAATATATAAGAAAATTCAATATATAATAAAGCATCATTCTCCGTGAATGGATAAAGTAAATCATTTCTAGTTGTATTATGCCAAATAAGAGCATACATATTCCTTACTCTTTGGTCTAGGTATAAAAAACATTGACTAATCCTACGCTTGTTTACTGAATCTGCGGCTAGGTTGGGAGGATACCAGCTCTCACTTCGGAGCTCCCACGTTCCCCTCGCCTGAGGGCTAACATCTACACTTTAGCACCCAATCTACACATCAGCACCCAAACGAGAAACAAATGAGATCTACTAACAAGTGAGCCACATTATTGAAATCTTCTGACTAGCAATCCTATAAAATTACTATAAATCTAATACAATCCATAATGATGACACATTAATAATGAATGATGTGTTCGTTCTTTAATAGATAACACTCAAGTTACGTGAACACTGCCTATATTTAGAGCTCATAATTAATTGTCAGTGTGAACACAAATGTGTTATTATTAATGTAATATAACAATATTATTGATATGCCTTCACAAAAAAATTTCATCATCCAGTATGAATCTTGAGGTATGACACGGATTTCAAGACAAATTTTTTAGTAAGAAACATTTTAACTTTGATTAAAAGTCATCCATAGTTTCAATTTCAACAAACTCATTGTCAAAATCACTGGCTCGGTGACGGACCCAACGATACTAAAATCAGTCCATTCCAAGTGGAATCAAGGCTAGATCGCGAAATTAGATCATTTTTTGAAGCATTTTAGATATATTGGGAGGTCAAATGAATGTTGCATGTGATATGCTTATAATCAAATCAAGTGTCTTGATGAGACGAATTCAACGAGCCCAATATCGCTTAATTTTGACACCGTTAAAATAATCAAATTTTGATAAAATGTCGTTCAATCAAGAGAATCTCTCTAGGTCGTCCGATCAATAGTGTTTAAGATTCATTTTTTCATTTGTAATTTGAATTGAATAAATAGAGCTTCAAACCCCTAGTGAAGGATGACCTAGACCTTGGGTCAAGAGCAAGTCCCACACCTGCAGAAGGGGTAGCTGCTGCTCTACATCTTGCACTGCAGCTCTAGCCAACTTTGAATGTTGTTGCAGCCTCGAGCCATTGCAGCCTTAGATCACCGATTCATTTGGTCGTTGTCTCTTCCGGCCACCATCACTGCTGCCGCCTCCGACCATCTCATGTCACTAACTACGACCTATATGATTCACAGCCCGTGCAATTCTCAACTCCGACCCTCGCGACCTATGAACGTCATCACAGCTCGCTGTCATGACCAACTACGACCTAAGTGGTTCATAGCTGGTGTAACTTGCCACTACAACCTATGTGGTTCATAGCTCTTGCAACTCACAACTTTTGCCCCCAAGGCCTACGGACATCGTCACAGCTCGCCACTACGACTTATGTGATCAATTACGACTTACGTGGTTCATAGTTGGTGCAATTCCAAACTCCGATCCTCGCGGCTTGCGGACGTCGTCATAGCTCGCCACTACAACCTAAGTGGTTCATAGCTTGTGTAGCTCCAAACTCCGGCCTCTAAGGCCTGTGGACGTTGTTAGAGCTCATCACCATAGCCTACGTAACTAACTATGACCTATATGGTTCATTGCTCGTGGAACTCCCGACTTCATACCCCACAACTTACGGATATCGCCACGGCTCACCACTACGGCCCACGTGGTTTATAGCTCATGGAGTTCCCAACTCTGACCTCCATGACCTACGGATGTCGGCATAGCTCGCCACCACGACCTACGTGATTCATAGCTCATGTAACTTTCAACTCCGGCTCGTGCAACCTACAAACGTCGTCGCAGCTCATGTGACCAACTACGACCTACATATCTTATAACTCCTACAACTTTCTAATATGACCTATGTGGCCAACCGATGTTATTTCCTTGAAACAACCATAAATGGAGGAAAGACTATTGGGGTTCTTTGCCATCCTTCTAACCGAAAAAGAAAAAAAACAAGGGGTATGTTTGAAATAAGGGGTGCCACCTAGGCAAGTTAAAAAAATTGTTCGCACAAGAACCAATAAAAAAGATTTACATATATACCACTCAATTCCTGTATATTTACATATCTAGCACCTACCTCAGATTTTACATACAAATCGTATTATTTATGCATAAAAAACATATCACTTTCAAAATTTAAAGTGGTGATACTTTTTATTTTGATACGAAAGATTGGAGTAATGTAAATGCCAAAATAAAAATTAAAATTTAGACATGTAAATAAATAAGAATTGAGTGGGGCATGTCTAAATGTCTCAAAATGAAATTATTTTTCTAAAACATTTGACTGTCGGCCGCAGTTTATAATTGGTGCATCATCTAAGGTTCTGTTTGGCGCAGTTGCAGCTGTGCTATCCCAGGAAGCTGCTGCGAGGAAGCTGACTGTCTGTTTGGTGCAGCTGTGCAGCTGTTTTTTGAAAAATGACTATTCATCTCTTGTTTGACAAAACTGTTTCATATATGCATTTAACTTTCATATATATGGTTAACTTTTTATTATGACAACTCATATTTAGTGAATTTTTAGTGGATTTAAACCTTAAAAATGTTTAAATAATAGAAATTATGAGATTTGAAATCCCAAAAATCAGCATACAATGTTGACTACAGGAGCTTAAACTTATAAAAAAGTTTTAAAATTTTCTCTTAATTATAATTCCCCATCAAGACTCCACAAGTCAACCTCTCTCAAGGGGTGATGACATCCAGAAATGACCATAGAATAAACACAGCCAAAAGCTAAAAAAAATATCTACTTCTCCCAGATTCACGAAAGAAAAAATAATTCTTGCTATTTAAAGCTGAAATAAAAAAAATAAATGGCATAAAATAAATGAAAAATAACAGAAAATAGCAAAAAGTTGCACCTGCTCAGTAAAAATTAGAGGAATTCATTGAAGAAATTACTAGGATTGACGTTATTTTGAGAAAAAAATTAGAGGCATCAGATGTGGAGGAGATGCTCTGCGCCGCCGAAGACGAGCTCCTAATGGGCTTCCACGTTCGATGCCCTCAAAGCACCTCGCCTTTGTCCTCCGATGGCGATCCAGCCAATCCGAACTCCTCGGCCCTTGAAATCACGATCCAAAGACTTATAAACTAAAGATCAGATATATGGTGATGTCATGAATGATTCCAAACCAAAATCGATGGTCGATGCGATCTCGAATAGAGAAGATTTCAACGATGACGAACAGAGCGAGGATGTTGGTGACGAGAATATGGTTTCGAAGGAGGCGGAGAAAGTGATCATGTGGGCAGTGGACGCCGCTAGACTCGATTCTTCTGCAAGGAATGATGAAGACAATGATTGGTTGCGTGAGATGCCCTGCACGTGAGGAACTCGTGAGAAGAGAGGAAGAAGCAGCTTGATTGTGTGAGATGCGCCTGAGGAGAGGAAGTCATCAGTGAAGAGGAGGCGGGGGAGCAGATCACACGGTTCGTGAAGAAGAAATGAGAATCGAGGGTGGGGTAATTAGGTAAAAAGCCGAGAGAGGAAGTCAGGCCACGGGTTGTTCATCGCGTTCCGCTTTCAGGGTATATCGCGGCCCGCCGCATGCGCACTGCCACTCCAAACAACATTTTTTCGCGGCGCGGCACCGCGCCGCAGACTGGCACACGCCAAACAGAGCATAAATTTTGCTTTTACATTAATACCACCCCACTTTCTTCACAAAAATATACCATACTAGGCCGTGGAGGTGATCAACTTAGGTAACACAAGAAAATATTCTCCTAGTGTTATTAGGGTGTTATTCAGACAATAACACCTGAATAATATATAATAACAACTGAATAATACACAATAACATCAGAATAACATAAGGAGAATATTTTCTTATGTTACCGGGTCAATCACCTCTACGGAGTAATTTTTATTAGACTACACGTAACTCTACATACAGAGTCCTGATATAATATTTTTTGGAGCCCCTATAAATTTTCCTATGTACGTAAAATTTAAAATTTAGGGTCAGATATGTAAATACGTAGGAATGGTGGTTGTGTAAATATTTCTGGAAACAAAATTCCAAACTTCGATGACACTGCACACTTCGAATCCACCCTTCCATGGTTCGGTAGGAGTTAGATTCATGCGCGAGTGCCATGAATCTCATTATTGAGAATTCGTCTCCTTTATCGACTGTGCATTGGGGCAATGTCAGCTTGAATCCGTGAAAAAAATCTTTCCTTCTGGAACTGATTCTCGTCTGGCTTTTTTTGGAGATTGTTTTCATTTTTTTTAGTAGGATTGGGGGAATTCATCAGGGTTTGATGAGGAAATCCTAGTCGCAAGTCCTTTTTAACTACATCTATTAGCTGATCTGCGCGTACCGCGGAAAAGAGATCTTCATATTGTTTGGAGTGTTTGCAGTGGCAGATGATTGAAGTATTTGTTTGAGGCATATTAGTGTAGTTGAAGTGAAAGGACAGGGTATGAAGCGCCGGAGTTATCGTATTCGATGGAGGACCAAGCTGGCTGTATTTCTTTCTCTGAGCTTTTGCATTGGTACCTTAATACTGACACAGAAGCAACACAGCCGAATCTTGGGAGTCGACGCTTCAAGTTCTTCTCGTCGGCTTCCGAAGCCTAAGATCGCGTTTCTTTTTATAGCTAGAAACCGGCTTCCTTTGGATTTGGTTTGGGATGCATTTTTCAAGGTTCTGATGCTTTGTTGTATGTTTATCTGCTAACTTCTTTTCTATATGTGGAATCCCTGCAACTGATCAATCATTAACCTTGATAGTTTTTGAAAGAATCATTCATCACGTTCGGTTGCAGGAACAGGAGGAGGATAAATTCTCCATTTACGTTCACTCCAGGCCAGGGTTTCTGTTCAACCAAGCTACTACAAAATCACGATACTTTTATGGACGGCAGGTCAACAATAGTGTACAGGTATGCATTGTTCCGAGTGAATATCTAATCTACAAAATTTAATCTCTCGTCTCACTGGTTTGGATTTTGGAGTTAACTGCAATATGCCAAATTTCATGAAACGTCTACAAACGGTTTCCTTCATCAACTTTTTTGTAGGGGCTTTTACATACATAGTGTGATAAGTAAAATGAAGCTGAATTCCTAAACACTGAGTTTCCTTTTGGTGTAATTGTTGAAATTTCTAATGAAACTCCAAGGTTCAGTGTGCTCATGTCGGAGCAGACTTTTATGGACGGCAGGTCAACTAACAACGATCCTAAATTTGCATAAGGTTTATGACCAATTATAGGATGAAGATATCATTCAACTCTGGAGATTAATTATGAATCATGGATTAGAAATTCCGTTTAGACAACTCCTGAGTTTTCTAATTTTATCACAAATTATAAACTCAATGGTAATAACTTTCTTCAATGGTTTCAATCCGTATTTTTATATGTTTGCGGTAAAGGGAAAG